ATATCGTTTCAGCACTCAATAACAAAAGTAAGTAATATCATGCTTATACATGATATTATAAAGTGTTAAGAAGAGAATTTAGTACCTTGATTTGCATGCCCTCCAGATTCAAAGAGATGTGGATATATCTTCTTCATATCCTCCTTAACTTACCAAGTTGCTTCTTCCATGAGTTGGTTCAAAGGACCTTGACTGAAGCAACTTCCTTTGTCCTCAACTTGCGAACCTTATGATCCAAAATCTGAACCGAAACTTCTTCATAGGACAAGTTATCCTAAATCCTAACATTCTTGTTGGTACTATCAATGAAAGATTACCCAAGCACTTCTTCAACATTGAAATATTGAACAACATATGAACCACTTCTAACTCTTGGGGTAGCTCCAACTCATAAGCCACATTGCCCTATATTCTTGAGATTATATAAGGTCCAAACCTCATAAATCCTTTCATAGGTGAAACCTTTAGGTATACCCAATCATCAACTTCAAACTCTAATAACCTTTTTCTAACATTTGTGTAGGACTTTTGGCGACTCTGCACTGTATTCAATCATTCTTGAATTACTTTCACCTTCACATAGCTTGGTGAACTAAAGCAGGTTCTATTTATCCTGCTTCTCCTGCTTCAAACCATCCAATACAAGATCGACACTTTCTCCCATAGAGAGATTCATATAGAGCCATTTAGATGCTCAAATGATAACCATTATTGTAAGGAACTCAATGAGAGGTAGGTGATCATTCCAATTTGCTTTGAAGTCTATAACATAATCTCTCAACATATCTTCCAACGTCTGGATAGTACGCTCCGCTTGTCCATCTGTCTGAGGATGAAACGCGGTACTCAAACTCACCTTGGAACCCAAACCTTTCTGGAAAGATTTCCAGAATTGCGTAGTAATCTATGCACCTCTATCTGAAATAATAGAGATTGAAACTCCATGAAGTATTATTACTTCATGAAGGTACAACTTAACATAATCCTCAGCCGAATAGGTAGTCTTGACCGGCAAGAAATGGGCTGACTTTGTTATTCTGTTGACAATCACCCAAATGGAATCATGTTGCATTTGCGATCTTGGCATGCCTGTCATGAAGTCAATGTTAGTAATATCCCACTTCCATTCCGGAAGCTCTATATTCTGAGCCAAACCTCCAGGCCTTTGGCGTTCTACTTTCACTTGCTGACAATTTGAACACTTGGAAACGAACTGAGCAATGTCTCTCTTCATACCTTCCGACTAATATACTTCTCTCAAATCATAATACATTTTGGTGGAACCCAGATGAATGGAATATTTGGAGCTATGAGCCTTCTCGAAGATACTCTCTTGAAGTCTATCCACCTTGGGTACACATAATCTGCCTTGGTATTTCAGCACACCATCTCCCCCTTGTTTGAAAGACAATACTCTTTGGCTATGGACACTTACCTTCAAACCAAGTTGAACAGGGTCTTGGTCTTTCTTCTCTTTCACTTCTAACACCAAGGATGATTCAGTCCCATTGTTTACCACTATGCCTCTTTTTGTTGAGTCCATAAGTCTGACTCCCAATCATGCAAGCTATACACATCTTTTGCTAACTCCCTCTTTTCTTCTTTTACATGGGAATTACTTCCCATGGACAACCGTCTTAAGGCATCAACAACCATATTAGCCTTGCCTGGGTGATAAAGAATACTCATGTCATAATCTTTAAGTAATTCCAACCACCTTCTCTATCTGAGGTTGAGCTCTTTCTAAGTGAACACATATTGGAGGCTTTTGTGATAAGTGAATATATCCACATGAACACCATATAAATAATATCAGCATATCTTCAACGCAAACATTATTGCATATAATTCTGAGTCATGAGTTGGATAATTCTTTTCATTAATTTTCAAGTGCTTGGAAGAATATGCTATGACCTTTCCATTCTGCATTTACTCACAACCCAAGACATCTCTTGATGCATCTCAATACACCACAAAGCCTTGAGTACCCTCAGTAATGTCAAAACCAGAACGGTAGTCAATCTCTATTTTAACTCTTGAAAGCTTTTCTCACAAGCTTTAGACCATTGGAACTTGAATTACTTTGAAGTTAACTTGGTCAAAGGACAAGATATAGATGAGAATCCTTCAACAAATCTCTTACAATATCCAGCCAAACCCAAGAAACTCCTTATATATGTCGGAGATGTGGGTCTAGGCCTACTTTGAACTGTTTCTATCTTCTGAGTGTAAACTTTAATACCTTCACCAGAAATAATGTGGTCTAAGAATGCCACGGACTTATGCCAAAACTCGCACTTGGAGAACTTTGCATACAACTTCTTATCTCCCAAAGTATGACGAATAAACCTTAGGTGACTAGTATGATCTTTTTCATTCCTTGAATTAATAAGTATGTCATCAATTAAAACAATGACAAATAGATCTAAATAAGGTTTGAAGATTCTATTCATAATATCCTTGAATGTTGGAGGTGCATTTGTTAAAACAAAGAACATTACAAGAAATTTATAATGCCCATACCTTAATCTAAACACTGTCTTAGGAACATCATATTCTTTAACCTTCAAATGATGATAGCGTGATCTAAGGTCAATATTGGAAAAGCAGGAAACACCCTGAATTTGATCGGAGATATCATCTATCCTTGGAAGAGGATATTTATTCTTGATGGTCACCTTATTTAACTGACGGTAATCTATACACATTCTAAGGGACCCATCATTCTTCCTAACAAACAAGATCGGAGCGCCCCACGGTGACACTTGGTCTAATGAAGCTTTTATCTAACAGATCTTTGAGTTGTTCTTTCAGTTCTTTTAATTCTGCTGGTGCCATTCTATATGGCGGAATAGAGATAGGACGAGAATCTGGGATGACATCTATGACGAAGTCTATCTCTATTTTGAGAGGGATTCCGGGTAGATCATCAGGAAAGACATCTGGGAACTCACTGACTATAGGAACTGACGTAATGGACGGTACCTCAACACTTGAGTCGTTAACTCGGACTAAGTGATAGATACATCCCCTAGAAACTAACTTCCTCGCCTTAAGGTTTGAAATAAACGACCCTTAGGCACTTTTGAACTACTATCCCACTCTATGACTGACTTATTTGGAAACAAAACTGGAACTTGACAATTTGAGTTCTGCAATCTATTGATGAATAACATGCTTGGAGCCAGTCCATACCTAGAATGACATCAAAATCTACCATATCTAACTCTATCAAGTCAACCATGGTGCTCTTCTGATTGATGGAAACAAGACAATCACAATAGACTCTTTCCGCTAGAATAGACTCCCTAAGAGATGTAGAAACATAGAAAGGTTCACAAAGCTTTTCAGGGAGAATTTCAAACTAATTTTGAAACATTAGGAGTTACAAAGGATAAACTGGTTCTTGGGTATAATAAAGCATAAACATCGAAACTAAAGACTTTGATAATACCCGTGACATCATCTGGAGAGTTCTCTTGCTTTTGGCGTCTAGTAATTGCATAGAGGCGATTTGCCCCTCCGCCGGTACTAGATTTAGCTCCTCTGGGTGCAGCCCTATTTGGTGGAGCAACAGATTAATATTGGGCTCTGTTTCCTGGAATTTCACCACCTTGCTTATTATTAGTGACAACACTTGACACAACCTGTCTGGCCATCACGTCATTTTCCAGGGTAGATTCTACCACATCTATCACACTAGAACTTCCACCATCTCTTTGTGCTACACTACCCTGAGATTGGGCCAGTCTAGCCTTAAAGTGCTGTGAATTATGACCGCTATACTCACCTCGATTTTTGGGTGCAAGTGCACTAGCAGATGATGATGTATGCCCCTTTGATTTTAGGAATTTTGGTCGGCTCCAGCCATCTTTCTGTTGGGTAGACTCGTTCCCAGTCTTCGCCTTCTTGTTTTGGTACTCTTCTTTGTCCTTCACCTTCTCTTCTTCAAATTATTGAATGTATACCATCAACTTTGATATATCCATGTCACCTATTAACATGGCAGCGCTACCTTCATTACTTGAAGCACCACCTAACCCTGCAATAAACAAACTCATTCTGCTCCTCATGTCTTTCACCATCTCTGGAGCATAGTGATATAGTAGGGTGAACTTCAAGCCATATTCATGAACACTCACGGAGTCCTGTTTCATAGTAAGGAACTCCCTCACCTTGGATTCCTTCAGTTCACAAGGAAAGAACATCCCTAAGAAGTCTTCCTCTAAGCAAGCTCAACTTGCATGTGGTTCATCCTCAACCCTACCATCCTTCCATCGGTCAAACCATGTTCTGGCCACACCTGGTAGTTGGTATGCAACCAATTTAACCCTCTCAACATTGACCACATGCATTACATCATACACTTTCTTCTACTCCTCTATGAAGTTCTCCGGATCTTCAGTAGTGTTTGATCCGATGAAACTAGGGGGATTCATCATAAGGAACTAACGAATTCTCAAAGTATCAACCCCTTCCTGTCAAGCTCCTGTCTGCTTCTCAACTTGTTAAATCACAACCTCACTCAACATCTGGATAGCTTCCTAGAATTTAGCATTGGTAACCTCTCCTTGAGATTGTGTCTCTGGTGCATTTAAAACCTCTTGTTCCTCAACATTACTTCGTGGATGACCTCTGAGTGCTCTTGTTGGAGGTATGATGATCTGAAAATACGTGTAAGCACGAATTAGAGGGAGAATTTTAGAGATAAACTATCACATCCGGGTTGACCCCCTAGACGTAACCGGCGTCGTCATCCTTTTTAAGGACTAAGACTAGCCTCTTAGTTTCATATATTACATTCATAGGTTGAAATATGCGGAAAAATTTAAAACCTTCATTATCGCTACATGGAGGTTTACATATACCTCTACATACACATAATATATATTCCTATCGAGTATGCACAAACCTTTCATATAGGAAGGTTACCTAGCCTTCTACTTTTATTGCACACACACATACACACATACACACACACACACACACACACACACATATATATATATATAAATATAGCAATAGTATCAATGACTGTCTTATCTCATACCATCTAAATGGATATCACAATATGGGCATATCCCTTACATCAATTCATCAAGACCATGTATAGGTCATACAAAAGTACAATATTCAAATAACAAGGAAAGAAATGATACAGTCAATAAGCTCATAACAAAATCCAAAGCTAGAAGATGGCATTTCCCTCGAAATTTGAGGACCTACCCCACTTGTATGAAAGAAGGAATCCAAGCTTTCAACAATATCGCCTTCCAAACTCTTCAATAACCGGAACCTAAAATGTTTGGAACAAGGGAAGAAAAAGAGGTTAGTACTCCACATGTACTAAGTATGGGATTTTATGCACATACACAAGCAAAACATGCTAATAGGGACTTTTTATCAAATCATGTCATTTTATCCCTTTAGAGTCTTAATGCAAAGTCAAGTAAGTCATATTAATCAACCAAACATGCTTACTATCTCAACAAGTAATACTTATCCCAACACACTTGAAACCATGATTTGCTACAACGCTGACGTCAAGAAAATAATATCACAAGAATGAATAAGAGTTAAACATATCATAATAAGCAAGACCATTAATCACAAGTCCTTATCAAGTCAACAAGTTCAATGACCAAGCAAAGCCCCATAACCTTACTCAATCAAGTATCCTCAACAAGAAAACAAGGCCAATGTCCAACTTTACATATCATATCGTTTAGGCTTGCATTTCATCATATAATATCATTATAAACCAAGGCATATTCATAAATGAACTAATCAACATATAATATCAACAATGTGTCGTGGTCATCGTCTATACATCATATATTGTCATAACATAAACATACATGAGAATCTCCTCCTAAGACACCCATCAAGGATAACTAGTGCAATGTCTAGGTAGAGTTTCATACCTTTACCTAGACTAATCTAGACCCCTTAGGTTATCCAAGTTAGATTTAAAGTCCTTTAATTCATTTTACCTTTAGGGAACATCTTTCCTTAACCGATATAGACCACATGAGCTAGTGTGGGATCCGGTGTCATAAAACCCTACACCAAAAGAAGGTGGACTACTTGCCAAGGTAGTACGAAAGCATAAAACATAGCAACTATGTGGATCCACTAGATAGTATTCCTATGGGGGAAACATTGTTCAAGAACTAGGAGATTTAGTTGGGACCCTCTTTATGCGCCATGCATTATAGTCTCCAATCTCGAGAGTAATGTAGTGTTCCTAACATCCCTATGTGGGAAAGGACACTCCTCTATGTAGTGCACTCGGTGCTAAGTTAGAGTCCCTTTTTGAAATTTCCTTAAGCCTTTAATTATCATTCCTAACTTAATTTAGGCCATAGGGTCTATCCCTTTTATAATCATCATCATCAATAACTCAATAAGAATTGTATGAGTGTAAATCCTTTCATCACAATTCATATAAATGAGGTTAACACTTTAACATTTCATAACTTATTAAGGCACCTTGATAGTAATAACCATCTTAATATCAAATACACCTTAATCAACCTCACAACACAGTGAAGACATTTCAATTAAACATCATACTACCCTTTAATCCTAATACAAGGCATACTCCAAATGTAATATCATGACTCAACAAAAATTAATCACAATTGGAAGTAAAGATAGAGATTTAATGACTTACCGAGTCTTCCTCATAGTCTAGCATCAAGGTCTTACCATTAACCCGTAACTCAACCCAACTTGGGGAGTAACATCATCACACCATGATAACCAATAGAATAACAAGGCCAATTGCATCTCTATTACACAATTCATCTTTAGATCACAACTTGAGACAAGGTACCTAGGCTAATTTCACATTATTATTCATAACTTAAATCACATCTCAAGAACTATCATTATAGGCCTATAATTCATCTTAAAAATTTGATCATAATAACACCATATGATAGTAATCAAATCAACAACCAACTAAATTGAATGATTACAATACAATATAGGTCAAGATCACTACCTAGGGTTAGGGATAGAGGATAATATTAATAAATTTAGACCAAACCATCAACAATTACCATAAACAAGTTTAATTTCACGTTAATATACTCAAAATAACCCTAAGAATTCATTAACAACTCAATCCATAATTTCAGTTTCGTAATTGAATGAAACCCATAAGAAAACTCAACTTTTTGAAATCTATTTTGAAGGAACCTTTTGAGGAAAGAATCTTAAAGGTGAATAAAACCAATACCTTAATGTTTCGCAACATTTTGATGAAGAATCCACCCTTTTTCCAGCCCCTAAACCCTATTTCTTCCTACCATTCAAATGGTGAGTTCATGTAGCAGAGAAATAACAGAGAAGGAAGAGAGTTTATTTTGAGAGTTGTATTTAGGTTAATGAGGTTTGAGGATATTTATAGTGGGGATTAATTAACTTAATTAGTATCCCTTTAATCCCAAACTAACTCCTAAACCAATTAATTAATTAAATGAAATCATTTAAAATTTAATAGTGAAACTCGACCCTCACAGATGAGACCCCGATTGACTGTCCGTCGGTGAGTCGACGGAAAACCCCTCCTCAACCTGCACTCTGTCGTCTCGGTTAGAGACTTTGCAGTTGAGGGCTTACTCCAATTTTTTTTAAGTGTGGAACGACGGTGACATCGACGCCCTGTCGATTCACACACGGATCGTAGCATGCACCTCCGCATCCTGTTGATGATTCCAGAAACTATTTAGGTGAAGGGACCTTCTCTACCAGCCTATGTGTGGGACGATAGTCGCATCGATGCCCCGTCGATCCACACACGGGCCATCGTCTATCCCATCGATGCACACTGCCAGGCAGTGCTGCATCAAACTGCAGGGGTCCTCCTCAAGAGCCCTTTGTTGATCCTTATGGAGTCATACCCATACATTTCAATCATGGAAAAACTCAAACACCCATTATCTACCTTTCCACCCATTTTCATACATTTCCAGCTCTTAAAAGTTAGTCAAAAAGTCTAAGGCACACCAATATCTCTTTGAACAAACTTTCCGGACGTTTTGGACGTTTTGGTTCTTAAACCTCCTAAAATACCTATATTCATTAAAAATGGACTTATAAACAATGTTTAGACTTTATGAAACCTATGTTAGGCTTTACAATGAGTATTCGATATTCAAGGTGTTACATAAACTCTTCGCACAAAGTAAGATGGAAGTAGTGAAACATTCCTAAATGTCTCATCCTCATAATCATAGATGTGGCGTGCTTCACACCGAGGACTAAGACTCTACAAACACGACTTCATAGATTCCCTAGGACTCTTCAACCTTGTGCTCCGATACCAAGTTTGTCACGCCCCGAGCCTACACCCTAGGCGGAACCGCACTCGAAGATCATTGTTGGCCCTCAAGCGAACCCTTGGCCTGGCTACTTAAATAAGAGGAAGACAAAACTTAACTTAAACATGAATAAACATATATCAAGGGAAGTACTTCATATCATAACTTTGTCCAAAATGGAACTTTGGCATTATTAACTAAAAACAACTCCAAATTGAAATACTATAGTCTACAAAGCCTTTAAAATGTCTAGAGAGGGATGTTGGTACAGACCCCAAAACATCCTACAAGCTAAGATAATATAGAAATGAAAGGGATGTCCTCTAGAATGCAAGGAGCCTCACCACAAACTCTAAATCTCAATCTAGATCAACGAAACGCTACGTGCTGATCCTGGGTACCTGCGTCTGCATCATGAAACGATGAAGGCCAACAGGCATTAGTACAGTGAATGTACGAGTATGCGAGTTGGATAAATAAACAACAACTTAAGCTCAAGGGATAAAATGAACCTATCTTGGCTCTACTCAAATTGAGAATATACTTAACTTAAATGATATACTATAAAGTAGTTCAAATCACTTGCAATATATATACATACATATGTGCATACATACATACATACATATATATATATCATGAAATGGTGAAAACAACTTAGTTCATTAAAAGAAATGCAATAGCAAACTCAACTTTACTTATATAAAAAAGTAATATCGCCTCTGTGGAGTTTCTCTAATCGACAACCATCACTATGATCCTAAATGATGATACAAAGTCTTAGCTCACATTGCAAGAGGACAATCCTCTACCTTGCCATCGGTATAGTACCTTGCTCAACTTAGTGGATCCACTAGCTCTCCTTACATGATCATGTAAAAAGTATGACACGTCAATACCCATGTTAGCGACATGGTGTACATGGAGACTTGAGTTAATATGAACTCTCATCTCCACATCGTTTCTCTATACTACTCCAAAAATGTACTTTAGCTCATACTTTAAATAAAACTTCCTTCCTTTGGGTTGAGATAATTTAATGAACCCATTAGATTTAAAAAGCTCTTTTTGGAAGTCAACGTTCCCTCTTTTTGTTCAAAACTCTTTTGGAACTTCTAGTTCCCCTCTTTACTCAATGTGAAACATTTGTAAAACTCTAGGGAATACTTAGTTCCATTATATTTTTTTTGAGAAGTTAACTGAACTCTTTCTGTTTACTTAACTTGAAGCTTTAAGTCTTTAAAACAAAGTGAAAACATTTATAAAAGACTTTAGAAAGCTTATAACTTTACTTTGACTCGCTTCTTAACTTCTAGACTTGACTCTTAACTTCTTTGACTTTGACATCAAATTTCTTTTAATTGAAATATGGATGTTTATGGATGATTTCATGATATTAAGATGTACCTTAGAGTGTTTGAAACAACTAGGAATGAGGGGTACATCACTTAGGAACTAGTACGAAAAGATAGGGAAAAAACGGGGTCTCTAGGAGTCGGGGCACTCTGAGAGGCGTGGAGCGCCATAGCCTGATGGATAGATGTTGTACACAGCCGCTCTGAGAGGTGCGGTGCGCCATAGACTGACAGACAGACTCTGTCTTGAGGGGCTTTGGAGGCGCGGCTCCCCATCATCTCTCCGACGGGTTTTCTGACTTTCCTCTTTGTTTTTCATTTCTAAAAACCTTCCCAAACTCCCATGGATTTCACCCCAAACACTTAGGATCCCTAATTAACTAATTAACCAATTATTTAGACTCGAAAACAATCCGAAAGCATGGATTACAACTAATAGTGATCAACAACAATTCAATCAACAAGAACTTCTAAAGTTTCATCAAAAGTTTCAAGATTTCTTTTAAATTTAACTCTAGTTTTGTGTAATTAATAAAGTTGGAGGTTGGGTGAAAGGACCCATCACCTAATGATCTCATATACCTTGTTAGAGATCACCCCTAACGAAATCCACGAAGCTAATACTTGGCGTTCTTGCGTCTTCTTCTTCTTTCTCCCTCTTCTCCTTTCTTTCAAAGCCCTAGTCTATTTGTCTAAGTGCGTAAAATGAATGAGATCAGTTTTAACCCCAACATATTACCCTAAAAGGAAATTAATTGATGACTTTAGATAAAGGCCAAATCACCCTTAACAAATCCGGATTTAGAACTTCCCCTGCTCAACAACCCATCTTGCAAAGGTCATATCTCCGTCATAGAACTTCAAAAATCCAAAAACTTGGCGTCATTCAAAATATCTTCCAACGAGATTTCCACCCATATAAATAACTCACAAAAACTCATCCTGAGCTGGAAGTTATGGTCGTTTGAAAATTCCAAAACTCACTTTTGAAATCTGAAAATTTTCTAGATTTCCTTACTTATTCCCAAATTTGATTCTATTTGTTTTTCTTAGCTTAACCTTAGTTTATATAGAATATGAGATGTTGCAAGAACCTCTTGAGGAACCATGCAACTAATACTTTGGGAGTTTCTCTAACCGACAACCATCACTTAAATAGTGATGATACAATGTTTTACCTCACGCTGCTAAGGACCATCGTAAACCTGCCAAAGTATAGGACATGAACTGTCGTATGGATCCACTTGTAAACTGCGAAAAGGTTTCATCCAAAAATTATGACCCTTTTCTATCCATGGTAGCTACATTAATTTCATGGAGACTTGAGTTAATCTGAAACTGCATCCCCACATCGGTGCTCAATACTACTCCCAAAAATATACTGTCTCTTATGTTTTTAAAACATAAAATTTTATGGTTTGATATTAGTGCTCAAAATATATATTTAAAACTCTCTTGGAAATCATTGTTTCCCGCTTGCTTCATTTTATAAAGCTATAACTCTTTTATGAAAACAAGACCAAGGGTTCTTTGGGAGGCGTGGCGCCCCAAGGCCCTACAGACGCGCGTTTCAATTTTTCTTCTCTATTTTTTGACTCTAAACCTTAAAATCCTCCATGGATCTTCCCCCAAACACTTAGTATAACTAGTATACTCAATACCCAATATTTTAGACTCATAAAACAGCCCAGAAACACGAATCAACTCAACTAGAACATACTACAACCCATTCAATCAAGAATTCAATAATTGTTCATCAAAATATCAATGTTCATTACCCAATCTACTCTAACTTGCTGAATTGAATCAAATTTGTGTGTGGGTGGAAGAACCTAACACAGAAAGATCTCATATACATTTTAGGGATCAACCCCGACGATTTTCACAAGTCGAACTTCGTCGATCTTGAATGTTCTTATTTTCTCTTCTCTTTTTTTTCAGCTTCTTTTCTATTCTCTCAAAACACTAACTTGTTTTCTAAGAGTGTCAACTGAATGAAATAAGTTTAGACCCCAATTTATTACCCAAAGACGAAATAAAATAATTGGGTAAGGAAAATACAACTTTTCAATTCCTAAATCCGGATTAGACAATCCTTTATCCAACGGCTCAACTGCTAAAAGGCATATCTCACTCATACGAAATCCAAATTGTGGAAACTTTGGAGATGTTGGAAAGATATCTCCAAGGAATTTCCAACCATATCAAGAAAAACCTCTAACTCATCCTGAGTTAGGAGTTATAGTCGTCTGAAGTTGACCAAAAACTCATTTTTTCTAACTTATGAAAATTTCCAGATTTAAATTCTTCCCAAAACATACTGTTTCAACTTCTAAGTTTCTTCCTATATATCCTAATTTACGAGATGTTACACGCTCGGCCAGAGGATAGTACCATGTACGCCAAAATGAAGTAAAAAATTAATTATAAAATAAGTTCGAAAAGGTGATAGAACCTTCATATAATATGAGTGTGTTGTATATAGGTTGGTTGTACTTATGCATTTTTCAAAGATCATAATGAAATTTGAATTGATATAGGCCTTTTCTTGACCAAGTAAAAGTTTTCACATAGGATCTAAACATAATCAGGAAAAAGTTTTACACTAGTTTTTTGAATTAATATTTTGCAGGTTCTATCAAGGATAAAAACCGGTTAAGAATATATAAATCCTTTATCTATACAAATAAAATGTACCAACAAATCATATACAAATAGGATATATAAATTGTATACAAATATCTTGGAATAGCATATACAAATTATGAATTTGTTCGATTAGAAACGGAATTATAAAAATTCTGGACATAGTCCACGTAAACATTTATTATATGTTAATGATGAAAATAATTTCTTCATATTTATTTGTATATTCTGGCGAATTATATGTATACAAACATAATTAATTATACAAACTCGAAGTCAACCCACAACATTAATGTACAATGTTAGTTGTTAGTTTTCGTTATATCAAACTATAACTATGCTAAGTAATTTAGTATAAATTTGCTTAACCATATAATTTTTCAAAAAATATGATTCTTTCAAATTATAATTAGTGACCACTAGAAATTTTATATTAAAATCTCACTATCAAGAAAATTGGACGAGGTCATTTATGTAAGTCAACTCAAATTCATATCCAAGAAAATTGTGTAGACGTATTTATATATATTATAGGGATAAGGCCCTAGTATTCTTAGATGTTTTATTCGGAAAAGACAAAAATATTTTTATAAAGTTTTAAGATTTGTTTAGAGTCTCCACTTAATTTTAAAGAAAAATCAGGAAATCATTTTTTTTTCAATCGATTAAAACAGGAAATTAGTTGAAAAATGTTTAAAGGAGGTTTGAAAATTCTTATTTATATTTTACGAAGGTTTCTTACGATACTAAAATACTCACTTGTGATTATTCGACAACTAACTTATTTGGCTATAATGTCTAACTTAAACTTTTGAGAATACAAAATATTTAAAGTTGTTTAAAAATGTGAAATGCTAATTTTTCTATCCAAATGAGTTATTAAATATCCAGGTTTTTTTTTATTCTTTAATTTTATTTGACTTGATCAAATTGATTTAATTAAAACAAAATGACATTTTAGCGGGGATTTGAATATTCTTAACCTTAGATTTATCGACGGACATGCAAAAAAATAAATGCATGTTAAAATAAAAAGAGAAAGATAGAAAAGTCGGGTCTAAATTCGGTTTCTGTCCGCCTAGAAAGGTATTTGGACCCATTTTGTTTTGGGCCTTTAGGCCCATTCGGTTGTACCTGTCCTAAATTCTAACAAAATAATAATGACAAAAGATAAAGTCTACGGCCCAAAAATAACGAAATACAACATTTATAAAAATAAATTTAGTCCTCTCAACCCAAAATCTTCAACTTCTTCTACTTCGGTTTCGTTCACTTCTGGACCTGTTCATCAATTTTGGTGGCTGCCGGACTAAAAAATGAAGGTTTTGAGCCTTAACGACTCTCTAGTAATGTGGGAAAAGGAGTTCATAATGAACTCGGAAAAATTCACATGCAGACATGAAGTAAAAAATAAAGAATATTTAATATTATCTAATTGGATATAACTACAAAAATGAATAAATAAATAAACAACACATATAATTCTGTGAGAGTGATTTAGACAGAAGAATATTGAGCACTAATAGTTTGATGAAGAAATTAAGAGATAACAATGCTCTTTGGGAACCAAACTTAAACCATAACTGACAACAAGACATATGATCCATAAAATGAATAAAATAAAATAAAATAAAGGTAATTATCATAGTATAAAACAAACCAAGAAGATCCAATATACTATATTAGCTGTAAGATCTGCCGATTCGTGGAAAACAAACCAAAACAATACAAAAAAATAGAAAAAATCAACACTATTGATAAACAACTAATATCACAAATGAATATAAATCAATGCACCATTTGCCTACTATCATTTATACAGTGTGAGATTGGAAAATAAAGTCATGCAACGATGCCAAAAGTAAACGAAATGGGTGTGATCAAGTTAGAAATAGATATGAGAGAAATGATATCGAGCTAAAAATAAGTTTTGAGCAATAAATTAATTGATAAGGTCATTCAATATGAATATATATCCGACAAAGATATTTCCTACCATGTAATCGATCAGAAACTTGCTCGGAATATACTACTTTACTTAACAAAACTAATTCTTCTTAATAAAGGCACATAGTATCAACAAAAAACCTCAACTAAACCATGGAATTTTTGCTTGTATTCTCAACTCGGGAACGAATCGAAGACATCAAATGACGCAATATCACATTATGCAGAATTTTTAACCAAACTAAGTCATTATATAAAATAATTTACTAAAGTAATATATTTTTCTAAAATTTTACAAAACTAGTATAAACGTATTTCATGGTAACGTTTTAGGATATATTTTATTTTTTAAAAACTAACAGCATTAGGTTGATATACGTTATTGTAAGTAACGTTTTACTTTTAAAACGTTATTTTCAATAACGTTTTACTCCTAAAATATTACTGTGAGTAACGTTTTAGGAGTAAAACGTTACTGTGAGTAACGTATATCAATCTGAGACACCATCAACTTTTAAAAAATAAAATATATCCTAAAACGTTATTGTGAAATATGTTTATATTAGTTTTGTAAAATTTTAAAAAAATATATTATTTTGATGAATGACTTTATATAATAGCTTATTTTGGTTAAAACCTCCATTATGCAAGAACTCAAGAACCATGCTTTATTACGAAGACAGTAAACAGAAACAGGGATGTCAGGCAGAGGGGAAAAATTTGGAAGTTGAGAGCAAAAATGAAGGAAAAAGAGGATAAAATCTGGGACGGAAACATACACGAAAAAAAACCCAACACTCTGAGTCTAATTCAGTCTCTCCAAGAGAAAATTTTAGAACAAAAGTCACTACAGACGTTAGAAGAAAATCCAAAATTTTGACGCCTTAGACCCATTCATCCAACTCGAAATGCAAGAATGAAGAATATGACGTCCAACATGAAACAATATTGCGGCTTTTAAAGTGGGCAAAACGAACAAGGACCAATGCGACATTTTGGAATTGATCACAACCATACTAAATAATAACAAAATCGAGAGCAACAAAATAAGGGGATCAACCCTTCCACTTATACATGCATGCTCATGAATGAGAAAACAATGGCTCATCAAAACAAGGGAATGTAACTCCTGCTAGAAGACCCAGGTCAAAACGAGCAAACACAACAAATGTATAGCTATAATGGGAGTTATAAATTTATATTCAGATAAGCAAAGAAGGTATAAAAGTTTGTCATCTATAGCAACGACAAACTATAACTAGAATATGCAAGGGAACTAATAAACAAAATGAAAAAAAAATATACCTTCTCTGCAGCAGCGAAGAAGACTGATAACGAGCAGGGGACAACAATTTTCTTCCACATAAAGCTTCGATCTCAAAACCTAGGAATACAGGCAGAGACTTAAACTCAAACGCCAAAATTACTATCACCTCTTTTACTCCAACCAGGGAGACTCACTGTCTTTCTTTTCTGATTTTTCTGATTCTATTACTATATTTTCTTTTGAAGAAAATTTACAGACTTCCTTGAATGAAAAGAAAAGGAGTATTTATAAATGAAATTTAGGGTTTTGAAAAAAATGGGGAGTCGGATTAGAAAACGGTCCAAATCGAAATTCAACGCTTCTGAAAAATGTACCATTTTTTGAGTAGACACGTTTTCCTGAAAACTTAACTCCATTCCATAAAAGGAAAGGGGAATCAATAGACTAGGATCGATCTCCCGTCCTTGGTGTAGACGTGGCTCAATCTCACGCCACCAAGGACGGGATGCATGCTCTGCTCGGTTGAGGACTGTCAAAGCGTACGAAAGGGAGAGGAAACATGAAGAAAACAACGAGAGAGGCAGAGTGCTACGTCCCTCGCTACTCCTCGTGAACTCGTCGTCTAATTTGCTTATAACCGTGTGGTTTTCTGTCTTCTCACAAAGCTGTCACTGTTGTCGTTTCTGCAATTGGGACTTTTCCTTGAACACACGATTTGGGCCAGGTCGAAGGAATGGGAGAATGGATTGCTGAAGGTGGACTGGGTTTGGAAAATATTGGCATTGTTGGCAATTTGGCATATCGTTTTTAACATATTGGGCTGCTGGAATTGAGAAAAAGGGCCCAAAAAATCTCTGTCTTGCAAATTGGGTCCAAAATTAGGTAAAGAAAAGACAACAATTGCAAATAAAATTGAAAAGTCAATTATTGCCAAACAAACTAATTTTCGAATCCGACTAGAAACAAAGTAAGATGAATTAACATCATTAACTCTGTGATCTTCTCGACCTCAACAAAATAAAATAATGAACTTAAATCATATAGTCACTGATTTTTACGAGTTAGCAATAATTTAAGACAAACGAAATTAAAATATTATATAACTTAAAGATGTAAAATCTTTTGAGATAGATTTCAAATATTTATAAAATACTAATTATATACAAAATTTTATAAAACAGGAATATTATTTTAAAATTATAAAGAAGAAAGGTAAAAATGATTAAAAAAAAAAACCTTACAAAATTTTATATATTATAAAATTAATTACTTTAAATCGTTTGAAATTTAAGAAGCTTAGTGATAAAACTATGTTGCGGAGGTCCAAATTTGGGTGCCAACAACGGTCTCTCATTTCACTTGGATTTATGCAAGAAATTAGAGAAAAATGAAATTGATCTAACCAATTTGGACCGACCACTTCTTCATCTTTTGGAGAGGGATTTGGTACAGACTTTAGGAATTATGGTCGAACCCCGGAAATAGGTTTCCTATATATCTCACACTATATGAGAATTCTGGCGACTTGGAGTTCGTTACGTTTGATCTAACGCATGATTTTGAAAGGTTTCAAAATCCATCCCGATATTGAATTATGAAGGAACCGAGATGCTCGAGAACAAGACTTTAAGAGTAAACATCGGAATACAGCCTCATTTTTTAACATTGTGCCCGCCTAAAAATCCTTACACTCAAGGAATCAGGCTGCTAATAGTTCGACTCGATCGATTGAAAAGCAAATCTATTATGCTAGATAACCTTTGAATCTGTATAACTGACAAACTAAGTCGAGTATGAAAAAGAGGTTTGCAACCTCTTGGCTATGAAGGTGGAGATCTTCACATCCATAGGTAAGAACTTACATAAACATAATTTGCAAAGCTCTGGTGTATTGTCACTCGGATTGAAAACTTGATTTCGGCAGATACACAAATTTTTGTATGCGAGACCGAAAACCAAGAAATCTAAAGAAAAACCCACATGCCTTCTAATAGGTGTGTGGTTTGATTGTGGTGGAAGTCGCTCCTCTGCTCGTGTCCTAAGAGTTTGATATTCTTCTTTGGACAATGTCCCAGTTTGCAGCTAAGGAAAGTTCCATGTTGTGTTGCATCCTTTTTTATGTCGTCTGCACGTGTGGTTTGGTTTGAGAATTCATCCTTTCGGATGCTCTCGACAAAGAATAAGATGAAACTACTTAGCATAAAAAAAGTGATTCAAATTTTGTAGACATTTTCTTTTACTGTGTTGACACTTAATTACTCTCCTCGACATTTGACGTCAACTCGATTGGGCTCGATGTAAAACAAATAAAGCTTATGTTTTATGTTTATAATATAATCTTCAATGTACTCTTCATTTGATGTTGAAATAAATGAAGGTTGATGCAGTGTGCTTATATTTCTCTTGATGTCGTCTTCGATGGTTTTCTTGGTGTTTACTCTTGTCAAAATAAAAGGATGCAGAGTATGTTGATGGGATACATGATTTCTTTCTCCCTTCGTTCCGATGCATGTCTTTCCGTGATGCATGAATTTTGTGTTGCAATGCATGACTTCATCTCTGTCAAGCATGATTTTCGGCGATGCATGAATTTTCTTTTGCAATGCATGACTTTTCCATGATGCATGAATTTTCTCTTGCAATGCATGACATTTTCGCGATGCATGAATTTTCTCTTTCAATGCATGACTTCTTCTCCCGCAATGCATGAATTTTTATCTTACAATACATGGCCTCTTTTCACGATACATGAATTACTACTCTTGCATTGCATGACTTCTTCCCGTGATGCATGACATTTTCCACAATGCATGACTTTCCGCGACACAAGAATATTTTCTCGCGATGCATGAATATCTTCTCGTAATGCACGACTTTCTGCGATGCATGAATATCAATCGCGGTTCACAATTTTTCAGTATGCATGAATATCAATTCGCGATGCATGATTTTTCGTGAAGCATGAATATTTTATCGCTATGCATGAATATTGACTCGCGATACGTAATTTTTCACGATGCATGAATTTATACGAGGCATGAATATCTTCTCGCGATGCATGACATTTTCCGTGAGGCACGAATATCGTTTCTCATGCATGATTCTCTGCGATGCATGAATATTGACTTGCGATACAAAATATTTTACGCCAAAACAAATGAAACATAAAGGGAAATTTTTAGAATATTTGTTTCAAAAAGTAGTATTTTGAAAAGAAATATAAGGTTTACTGACAAGTATCATGTTACGTCAGACTTAGCGAAATTCTTTGAGTTTGATGTTTGGTGGTCTACCTGATTATTCACTGGGGAGTATTTAGAGTCACTCTAGACTGTCGATAAACCCATGTTGAAATTTTGAGGGCATCCTCAAAATTTCTGTCCTAGTTAACTGTCTTGGCTTATCTTTAAATGTCAGTGGACAAATCATGGAATTTTTGAGATACTCTCAAAAATTCTGTCCTAGTTGCAAACTTCAAAGTAACTTCAGTCTCGACTTGTTGAGGAAAAATCTTCTTCTCGAGAATTTTTGAGTATCTCATAAATTCTATCTCAGTTTCTTTTGTAAAGAAAAATAGAAATCTTATGGGAGATATGACCGAGCCTTTGTGGCGCCTACGTATCCTGTTGAGGAAGGAATCATGTCAAACATAGTTCCCGCTCAAAGGTTAACATCAATAAGAAATTTTACAAAGAAACGAAACGAGGCCGATATAGGCCGCCTGCGTATCTCGTTCTTGATAATTCAGGTCAAACGTAATTCAAATAAAAAGAATTATTAAAAAGGGTAAATGGGGTGACCGAGGCTGACATACGCCACCTACGTATCTTATTCATTAGAATTCAGGTCAGACCTAGTTCATTACAGGAGGGATAAGATTTTAAACAAAGCCAATACAATCAAATAGAACGAATACAAAAATGACAGAATTACAAGTTGAAGCTTCACACTTAATATCTCTTGACAATGTCTGAGTTGATAAATTTTGACTATACGGTGTCATCAATCTCCGACAGGACCAAAGCACCTCCTGATAATACTTTACGGACCATGTGGGGTCCTTGCCAATTTGGTGCAATTTTACTTTATACTTATCTTGATGAGGAAAAATGCACTTAAGTACTAATTGACCAATTTCAAAATTTCTGGCTCGGACTCTCTTGTGGAAAGTGTGAATCATTCTTTGTCGATATAGTTGACTATGACAAACAACAACCATTCTCTTCTCATCAATCGATACTAACTGATCAATCCATTTGCTGACCCATTCAACATTACTTAATTTAGCTTCTTAGATGATTCTCAAAGACGGTATTTCAACTTCAACAGGTATGACTGCTTCCGTTCCATATACTAGCAAGTATGGAGTAGATCAAGTCGACGTTCTAATAGTCGTTCGATAACCCAACAAAGAATATGGCAAAATCTCGTGCCAACCTCGGTGGTTGTCAATCATTTTCCAAAGAATATTCTTTATATTTTTATTGGCAACCTCCACAGCTCCGTTCATCTGAGGATGATAAGCGGTTGAATTGCAGTGAGTAGCCTTAAATTGCTCATATATATCTCTCATCAAGTGACTGTTGAGATTTGCACCATTATCAGTAATGATTAATTCTGTTACTACAAATCTACATATAAGATTATTGCGAACAAAATTCGCTACCACTTTCTTGGTCACCGACTTGTAAGAAGCTGCTTCCAACTACTTGGTGAAATAATCAATGGCAACCAAAATAAATATGTGTCCATTAGAAGCGGCTCACTCTATTGGACCAATGACATCTATGACCCAAGCTACAAATGGCCAAGGTGAACTCATATATTTGAGTTCGTGAGGCAGGACTCGGATCAAATCACCATGCACTTGATATTTATGACATTTCTGTACAAACTTGCAACAGTTTTGCTCCGTAGTCATCGAAAAATAACCGGCTCGGAGGATCTTCCTTATTAAAGTGAGTCCATTCATGTGTGTACCACAAACTCCAGCGTGTATTTGTTCAATAAGCCTCACAGCTTTAACAACATTAACATATTTGAGAAGACCTAAATTTGGAGTCCTCCTGTAAAGGACTTCTCTGCTTAGAAAGAAGTTGAGGGTCATACGACGTATTGACTTCTTCTTGTTAAATGTTGCATTATCTGGATAAATACTAGACTCCAAACTTCTTTATATCAAACTACCTCGCAAACCGTCTGGTTCTACTTCAACGTGGGAACAATGAAGTGGCTGCTCCTTTATCTCTGTATCCAGAGGATCAATGTAATCAGTATCTGGATGTTTAATCATTGAGGCAATGGTTGCAAGAGCATCACCCAAATTATTCTGTGTTCTGGGAGTGTGTTTGAACTCAATCTTACGGAATCTTCTACACAACTTCTGTATATACTGCATGTACGACATAATCCTTGGGTTCTTCACATCCCATTCTTCTTGAATCTGATGAATCAACAAATCTGAATCTCCAATAACCAACAGATTGTGGAGTGTCATATCGATGTCCATTTTCAAACCGAGGATATAAGCTTCATATTCATCCATATTGTTTGTGCAATTAAATTAGAGCTTAGCTTCTATGGGATACTGTTGACCAAATTCTGACACTAAGACCGCTCCAATACCTCTTCTTTGGTGATTTGCCGCTCCATCAAAGAATACCCTCTCTAACCAGGGTATGTTTCAGAAATATCTTGATCCACAAATGATACCTCTTCATCGTGGAAATAAGTCTTGAGCGATTCGTAATCTTCATCGACAGGATTTTCTACTAGCTGATCAGCCAAGGCTTGTGTTTTTATCACCTTCTAGGTCACATACACAATATCAAATTCACTCCAAAGCATCTGCCATTTAGCC